CCGTCCGTCGTTTTTCGTGCGGCGTCCTCGTCATCTCTATCGGGCTCGCTACTCTTATCGCATCCGAGACGGCTCACTTTTTCTAACGCGTGCTCGTCCTCGTCCCCGTCTTCGTCCTCATCGTTGTCGGGATTTACACGGCACTCGTTCATTTTGCTCGCATTCTCCTTTGGAGCATTCGAATTGAGAAAAGCACCGACGACCGCACATCTCGACCGTCGACCGTCGCCGACCAAGCACCCGGCATTGTCACCGCGCGTCGCGTGACCGGTCATCGCGCCACCCTCATCACCACTGTTACCACTATTATTATTACTACTACCGTTACCGTTACTATTACTATTATCGCTATCGCTCTCTTCATTTTTCCCTGTCTTTATGACATCAATTCGAGCACCGCTGCGACACTTTTTCGATATACCCTTCTTCACTCCATTTTCTTCTTCTACCTCCTCTTCCTCCTCATCCTCTTCATCGTCATCCTCGTCGTCATCGTCATCGTCGTCGTCGTCTTCTTCCTCGTAATCTTCACTGGTCGGTGACGTAAACGGAATAACGCACATTGTGTTAACACAAGCACTACTACCATTTTCATTTTTACTAACGCGCTCGTTACCATCGAAGTTTTCATCCTCGTGCTCGTGACGACGATGATAGTGATGATGATGATTATTGTGGTTGATATTACCATTGTTATTGTTGTCGTTGTTGTTGTTATTATTATTGTTGTTGTTGTTGTTGTTATTACTATTATTAGCGTTACTAGAATGCCGACGAGAAAGATGAAGATTGGTATGACAATTACGACGGAGAGGACGATATTGATGTTGTTGCCAATGATGAGGATGATTCTCGAGTATCGAAGCGTCTTCGTGGATGCGTCTCGCGATATCCTGACCCGTGCTCAAGGACGTCATCGAAGACGAAGCGTCCTGACGTTTGTGTCTCTCCCTCGTTAAACGAGAATCACTGTCCCCTAGGTCGGTGGCCGCGTCTTCCGCGGACGGACCGTCTGCCATCTTGTAAACGATTGCACTATTGCCTGGCAGAGGCCCTATAGCACGAGCACGGGCCGCGCCACCGCTAGCTCGATTCTACGGCCCGGCACGGCTCACTTAACCCCTCTTTTCTTCACCTTACAAAACCACCGCCACCTCTCGCCGACAGCTACCCACTGACGACCCCCACTCCCGAAGCTGCCGACGCCTGCTCCGAAACTAAACGGCAGTATCCGAAAGATATCGAAATATTCCGATCATGCCCGAACACCCTTCCCATCTAACCATTCGGCCGCTTCTTGCGACACATCGCGGCCGTTTCGATCTTTACTTTTTAGCGGGAAAATTGAAATAAATTCTATTGTAATTTTTATCGTTTCAAATATTCCAAAAGAATATATTGGATGCAGAATTAATATTAATAATATTATATGCGCACACGCGTAAGTATATACATATAAGAACCATTTGATTTGTTATATATTTTTTATTTATTCAGAAAAATTTTTTATGACAATCCAAGAGGATATTATTTCTAGTACATCGTAATACTGTTAAACGATGAGCACCATCGGATTTATTCGCGTCCTGGAATGTAATTCCAAAATAAAAGATGCATTGTCTAACGTAAGCTATATATAGGCAGTATGTTAAATATGCTACATAAGCTTCTTTCTGTACACGCGTATATACAAGATACATGATATACAGAATTCATATGTTAATTTTTTACTAATTCCTTTATATATGAAATTTATCGACGTGCTACTCGTTTCGAAATTTCATTCAAATTTTTATCTCTCCTATTCTTTACATATACATCTGTAATTAGTCGAAAATATGTGCGACATTATAAATACAAGTTATAAACGTAAGAAAAATATCAACTTAATTTTATTTAACGTGCAATCGTTTTATCGACTTTGTCTTCGATCTAAATTTATTCATTGTTTCCTGGAATGTGCGTGCTCGAGCGCATTACTGTATATTGTATACTGTAAAAATATTTATTTTGAGCATAACATTGATCACATATTATTCAAAGCAACTGAAACTTAAATTAACAATAAGCAATTTGTCAAATGAATATTGTCTTTTGATTGAATAAGATTAGGCACAAGACAGGCACTTCAATACTTTGTAACAATTGAAATCCACAAAGATTCTAATTTATCCTGAACACTTTTTTATATATTTCGTTGAAAATCTCTTGTGCAAATAATCTATCATAATATTTGAAAAAAAATTAGTTAATTTAAATTATTGGACAATTATTGCTTGAATTTTTTTCAATTTTTTATATCAATAACTACTTAATATGTAAAAAATAAGAGTTAAATAATTAATATAATTAAAATAAGAGTTAATCTATATGTATAAGCCTTTTTTTTTTAAATATTAGGTAGCTATAATTCATTTATAAAACGCAAATATAGAAAACTATTATATAAGGCAATATTTGATAACAATGATCTTACAATTCTTGTTATTTTACAATACGTAGAATTTGAAGTGAGAGGTATACCGGTATATATATATATTTATATATATATAGTAAATTCATTGTTTAAATATAGCAACAATAATTTTCGATGTTTGCACTTATATATGTAATCTTTGGATGTTTAATATGATATTTGAGTATCTTTTTTATTGAAAGTAAATATCAAATATCTTGTCCATATTGTAACATATCTTGTCCATTCTATATATTTCTAAATATATTAATATAAATTATTCTAAATATAAACATTTAGAAATTACATAGGATAGAAAAGTTTTGTTTGCAAAATGGAAAACAAGATTTACAATATACATAAAATAGCAAGTTAAACATTCTGCTTATTTTACGAATATGTAAAACATTGTTGTAATTTTCCCTTTTCTTTTTTTTTCTTTTTTTTTTTTTTTTTACAATGAAAATGCTTATAAATT